TGTGTGTGTGTGTGTGTGTGTGTGTGTGTGTGTGTGTGTGTGTGTGGGATGGATTTGAGAATGCATTGTTAACACTTGATTATCCTCCAATAGGATGCACATAAAGAGTCGGGGGGTGGAACCTTTCTGCTCTAATCAAAGTTGTAAAAGAAAATAAAAAAACGAGGTCATCCCAGCTTATTTTAATCTCTCGATCTGTTTGCTTTTAATCGCCGGAAGTCCTGGGATGTCTGATGAAATCTCATTACACACTGTAGTGTACAGAGAATGATTACATGTCACACTGTGTGAGATCCAGCAATCATGACCCGAGATGTGGAAGCACGAAACTTACAGTTTCTGACCCACCGCTGTTCGACTCACAGTGACAGACTGACGGCTGCACGACTGTTTTTCTGTAAAGCAACAAAAACTGAGACTGAAAAAGAAACGTTGTTCTCCTACCCGCGTTTTTGTACGGTTCTTGCGCTTCGGCACGTCTTCTTCTATGTCGTCCACCTCAAGTTCATGTGGAAAATCCCCAACAAGCAGCTTCTATGATAAAGAGACAACTGTCAGAGAACTTAGTTTACTTTTTGTTTGCAGTGGAGTGGCAAGAAATTAATTCAATTCAATTCAGTTTATTTCTATAGCACCAAGTCACAGCAGAAGTCATCTCAGGACACTGAACAGAAACAATATAAAAGCCAGTTAGTAAAGTTATCTATCTAAGGAAGGAAGGACACCACCAACTGAGTCTGAAAAATGGAAGGCCACAAAATGTATCGTAGCTTGTAAAATGAATATATGTTTCCTTGTATGTGTTAAAAAATATTTGAAATAATTACTCGGAGAGCCAGGATTGAAGTTTGACTAAATGTTTTAAAATACTTGCAAAGAGAGATTTTACCCTTACAGCCAAATGAAGGGCCCCTCACACAAAGTGTCATTGTTACAGCACGAGCAACACCTCTCTGACAATCAGTACAAAGCTACAATTATTTATAAACTCCTAGCTCCCTCCATCTGCAGCCATAGTCCCCACATCCCAAGCAGCACAGTTTGGCTCGTCTGCTGAGAGGTATGTTTTGTTAAATCAGTTGAAAAGTCAGGAAAGTAACAGACAAAATACCCCCCGAACAAGGCGATGTTTTTCTTGCTGACACCTGTAGACCTTCAACTTTTAACATAGTAAAGAAACACTGACAATAGCAAGGGGGAAACATGTGTTGTATATAATTTAACATCACTGTCCCTACGAAATTAGGATTCTTGAAAGGTTTTAATAATAAATGCTACCTCAGAAAATACTAGACTCTCCAAGTACCGCCAGCCAGTTTTCAGCTTCAAATGGATCAAATAGCTGACCTTGCATCTACTTGAACATCTAATTCTAACATAAAAAGCATATTTAACTAGTCAATAAGCTCAACTGCCTGAGGAACCTTCACCAAGGCCTGATCATCTTTAATTGAGGGCGTAAAGGTCATGGCTAAAACACTTGAAGAA